ACAATTAAGGTTTTACTTTTAAGTAGTAATCACAAAACTAAATTATTTGTCCTTTCTAAGCTGTATTGCAACCAAGCATTTTATTTGTAAAGCTAAACTCTGTAGAGTTTTGTGCTAATTTCAAAGACTCTGAAATGTTACAAAATCCCACCATTTTGAAGTCAGCAACATCAGGACATGTCCAAAGTGCACAATATTCCAGTGTGATGCTGCGAAGGCAGTAATGTTCCAGGAAAACATTGAAGTAGAGGAGCAGTAAAAAGAAAACTTTATTGGGAAGCAAAATAAAAATTAATCCAATGTTCCCTGAAATGGCTTTTAGTATGTTCGTTCAAGAACAAGAATCTCTGAATATAAATTGACAACAATGTGATTATATTAATATAAATTGGTTGGATCTAAAAGTAAAAAAAAACGTACTGAGTGCAGCTGAACTTTGGAAGAAACTCTGATTTGCATTTGCCAAAATCTTTTTGAAAAAAAGGGAAATTGTTTGATCTGTCCTGAACTTCAAAACAACTTAAAAATCTCACCCTTGCAAGGAGACATGCTTTGCCTAAAGCTTCACATTGTTGCTAGTCTTGGGAATTTAACCTTTAAAATTAATAGCAGGAACATTACTTTCAGTGAAATGATTTAGTACAGTTCTGTGAGTGATATTCACTGATGTGACAGACCTTGCTTCTCACACTCACAGAATCTGTTATTGCTAAATTAAATACACATTTTTGCAATTCATGCAGGACTGTTCCTAATGGTACTTTTGCAGGATTTGCAATAGGAAGACAATTATAATGGTGAGTTTTTCAGTGTGACATGGATAAAACTGGAGCTTAATCGTAGGAAGCTCCCCAGTACTATCTGTTTACATACTTCCATTATGTTCTCCAAAACATGACTTTCAGAAATACAGTAACAGTTTTAAATCCAGTAGTACAGCTTTCTTGAACAGTCTCTGAGTACTTAAGGTGATCTCTCACCAACCTCTTTCCTTTTTCTCCACAGCAGTATTACTTAAAATATTTTTCATGCAATCATGTCTGTTTTAACTGTTATGTTGTCATTTTGATTTTGATGTGAGCCCATCTTTTTAAGCTTCTCAAATTCTGTGGGACTCCAGCAATTCAAGTATGACTGTAGGCTCTCAAATTTTTATTATTATATTAGTAATTTTACATTAAAGGGAGTGGCTTGTCTTGACCTAGACAGAGCTGTAGCTGTTCTATCCTCACATGCCTGCTTACTCACCCACTCTCCCTTCCAAAAATGCATCTTTCATCCCCATGTTAGTATTCCCAATGTGAAAGAGACATTTCTGCCTGTGGTTGGTGATAATCCATCATCTCCTTGTGGTCATTTACCCTCGAGCTGAGGAGACCAATAGTGCCTTTACAAAACCAAGGAAGAACTGTTTGGAAAAGTAACAGCTTATGTGAAGTTGTTGTTTATTTGGATGGCTGTGCCACAGGAATGGGAGCAGAAACCTTCTGAAACCCCTCTGATTATTGAGATCCTGTTTACATTGGTGCTCCCCTCACGGGAAAGCTGGGATCAAAAAATTGGAAGGCTGAACAGAGCTCTGAGATGCTCTTCTGCACATCTCCTCCTGTGCTACACTGCAGGAATACTATCAAGTGTTAAGTTGATTGTGGAAGGGATTTAATGACCAGTTCACAAACCCACTCCATTTATTCAGAAGTCACTGATAGAATAGAAATTGGTTTTGAAGTGTTCAATTTCCTCATGCCCCAGGACATGGTAGGAGGGTGGACACTGTCTCCATGGAAGAATTTCTTGGCTGAAGCATTATACACAGTATCTAGTAACCTCTAACTAGAGGAATCTGGGAATCTAGTGGCCTTGATGGATATTTAACTAGATGTGTTTCCTTTGAATCCCTGGGCTGTTTTTAATTTGCATCTGCAAATTAAATCTGAGTCTGTATTTGCAGGAAGTAAAATGCTTCCTTGCCTTTGGAGCAGAATGCCAGAGGAAGCTTCTCTTGCCTCTACTCTGTGCTTTAGGGCTCAAAGGCAAAATAATTAGTTCCACACAAATAAGAATAAATCACCCAAGTTGAAACATGATAGTGCCTGACAACTGGTAATGTTGGAAAAAATATTCCAGTAAAACTTTATGGATGGGAAAATAAGTGTGCAGAGCAGATGATGCCAGTGTAGCCTTGAGTACCTTTACACTAAGGATAATGTTGCTAACATAGCCATATTGCTGGCTTTACCCTGCAAAATAAGTAAATATGGCAAGGAAAAAAGACTGTTAATAAGTAAAAATATTTTATTTTTTATTTTTTATTTTTGGGATTTTTTTAGAAATATGATACCGTAATATATATATTACTATATATAAGGAGTATATATATTAAAAATGCATATAAAAGGAATATATAAAGAATATATATCCTTAGGTTTTTGGAACATTGCTGAAGAGATTTATCAATCCTTGTGCCTCTCTGTGTTCCACAGGGCTTGGAGATTCCATTAACGTTTATTTCACCTTTTCTTGGGTAGCAAAAATACCCTGTTCTGGTTACCTGTTTTATTTTCATCAGCTATTTGAGAGTTTGTTCAGAATTGCTTTTTTTGTTATTGTTTTTAGGAATGCATTGTCTATTCTTTTTTGGAAGGATTCTCAAACTACTTGCAAGGACATAAGAGCAAATTTCTTCATTAATTAACTATATGGATGGAGTGGAGACCATTTGCTTTCTTCTTCAGGTTATATCATTGTGGAGAGCCTATACTTATTATTTGTTACAGTATTGCAGATTTAGGAGAAAAATTGAATAAGAGCAATTTATTGTTGAGTGTGATTTCATAGGGAAATTTTGCATCTATTATTACAGAAATATTCCAATTTTGCTCCATAATGCCAGTTGCAGTTTTCTGTACTGTAAGGGCCAGGTCCTTCAGGTACCTGACCCTGCAAAAGGCACAGCTGGAGCTACAGTGGGATTTTTAGGGAGTGACTGGGTATGACTGGGGATATTCTGGCATACCTGCTGCTCCCTCAGTGATAACAAACCCCACCATTCGTTGCTCCAGATGGAAAAATTTGCTTGTAGACTAAAGGAATAGACAGGTTCACACTTTTTGCACATCACATTTTTGGTTTGGGGGTTTAATACCAGAGGGTGCAGCTGCAGTGGGGAGGTGCAGCAGTCATACATAGTGCTGTTATCTTACTCTGGCCACAGCAGACAGTGTCATTGAAACATGAAAATGCACACTGGGCTTGTGCAAACAAATGCTTGTGCTACCTTGGTAAGCACCTTAATATGTGCTGAAGCAGAATTATTTGGCTGCCTCTGGTGTGTGGTTTGCTCCCAGCAGAAAGTCACTCTGCACTATCCCCTCTTCAGCCAGCCAGAGCCTTTGGTGAGCGTTTCTCCTCCAGAAGTAAACAGGAGTCTAAGAATAACTCTGCCTCCTTTGTAGTGTATTTTCATGGTTAGCTGTCCAAACAGCCAGCCTGTCTAGACAGCTGATGGCCCTGGGAGCTGCTGAAGTCAAAAGCAGCCACTCTGGGGCATGCTGCCTCCTGGGCAGCCCTGCCTGTGGGCACCAGGACCTTGCAGTCAGAGCCACTGGGGTTCTTTCTGAAGCTCCATGGGCTACAAGTGTGTGCTAACAAGGCATTAAACAGCTGATATGAGTGTATAAAAAAGGAATTTTCAATTCTTACAGTTATTTCTGACTGCCATGATATGTCTCTGGTTATGGTTTTTTGGTGGCCTTTAATTTTGTTTTGTAGTGTTGTGCCCAAATTCAGTTTTGAACATAACTTTGAGATTAATACTTTTTTTCTAATAGAAGCAAATGTTGAAGATAAACCAATCCCCACGTTCTACTGTCTTCCAGATGTAGTTTCAATACAGATAGCAAAGGTAGTGGTGCACATGTCACAGAGCCATTTGCTCTGTAATCACAGAAACTCTTTTTCCAGGGTTGAAGAGTAAAACCTGGTATAGTTGCTGTATTTCTAGTAACCAAGCAGCTGCTAACTGCTGTCCAACAGGTGAAACAAAAGGCTAGTTAATGCTTTAGTTCATCATTATGAATATGGGACTAGGTAGCCCCTGGGGTTCTATGGTTGCAATATTTCTTAAAAATGTCTTTGAAAGTGTCTTGCTACGTGTTTTGGAGTTGGGTACCTCACATGCCATGTGTCATTCATTAGTTTATAATGTGCATTTGCTGATGCAAGAACTTGTCAGAACACAAGAAAAAAGCAACTGAGAAATCTGTGTACACTTTAATCCTTTGTTGATAAATTTGTTTTTGACATGTTATCATCATGTTCATGTGTCTGTTTCTTTTGATGTATATATATGCATGAAAGGGAGTTGGCATCAGGTCTTCTGAGTGTATTAAAATATATATTCAGAACTCCTAAACAGATGAAATTCTGTACCCACAGGAAACAAGGCTGATACATTTTCCACCCAGGGAATGGCACTTTGTGATACTCCATCACAAAGCAAGCCACCGTGTAAGATGAACAAGCAACTTGCCAGTGTAGCAAAAAATACAGTGATACCAAAGAAAATACCTAAAGTAGTACCTCTTTGTCAGTTTTTAATTATCAAGTGCCTTTAAACTACTGCATAGTTTATGTATATAGTAAGGTTTTTGTCAATTTCTTTCCTTCCTTAATGTGTTTCTTTGTTAATGTGTTGATCATCCTTCTGTGACACAGTGCCCAACATCCTAAGAAATTTGGAATAATAGCTTTTCTTTATGCTGTTCTTGTGAATACTGTTCACACTTGCTTGCTCTGAATTTGTTCCTGACTCTTGGAAAGCTTACTGATTCCTTGTTATTATTTGATGGGTTTGATTACCTCATTTGATGTTTTGAGGTAGGATTATAAGAACTGGGCTTCGTTTGCTTTAGGAATAATTTTAATCATTTAATATAGCCTAAGATGATTTTGGATGGTTTCCCTTGCTGTTGTCTTAAAATTGACTTCTTTTGTTTAAGATCGAGAACCTTCAAGAGCAGTTGCGAGACAAGGAGAAGCAGATGAGCAGTTTAAAGGATCGGGTGAAATCCCTGCAGGCCGACACCACCAACACTGACACTGCCTTGACCACGCTGGAAGAAGCGCTGGCGGAAAAAGTGAGTGTGGGAAGCGCTGGACGTTCCCTGGGGAGATGCGGCCGCTGCTGCGGCGTGCGAAGGCGCGGTTCCTGATCCCCATCCACTTACCGATCCTGTGCCCGATCCCAATCCTGTTCCAGTGCCCAATCCCAATTTTGTGCCTGCTCCCGATCCAGTTCCTGGGCCCATTCTCGTGCCCGATCCCGTTCCTCATCCTGTGCCTGTTTCTGATCCCGCACCGCTGCCCATTCTCGTGCCCGATCCTGATCCAGTTGCTGTTCCTGTGCCCAATCCCAATCCAGTTGCCAATCCTGTGCCCAATCCTGATCCAGTTGCCAATCCCGTGCCCGATCCCGATCCAGTTGCCGATCCCATTCCCTGTCCCGTGCCCGATCCTGTTCCTCATCCCGTGCCTGTTCCTGATCCCGTGCCGCTGCCCCTTCCCAATCCCCTTCCCAATCCCGATCCCGTTCCCCATCCCATGCCTGAGCCCAATCCAGTTCCTGTGCCCGTGTCTGATCCCCGTCCCGATCTCCATCCCATTCCCGTTTCCAATCCCGATCCCGTTCCCCATCCCGTGCCTGATCCCAATCCAGTTCCTGTGCTCGTTCCCCATCCCGTTCCCAATCCCGTTCCCGATCCCGTGCTTGATCCCAATCCAGGGCGGAGCGGCCGCGGCAGGGCCGTCCCCGCTAGAGGGCGCTGCAGGACGCGCCGGTGGGGCGGGCACGGCGGCGCTCCCGGCGTGGGACCGCAGTGATGATGATCCCGATAATCTGAGTTTTTAATGCTCGGTTTTCGGGAGATAACCGGCTCAGAGATAGACTGTCCCATTCTCTTTTGGTGGCACAACTTCTTGGGTGAATTATGTGTGTTTTTTCATGATTCCCGGAGGAGCTCCTTTAGTCTATCAGATTCTATAGTTCATAGAATCTGGTTAAACGTTACCTGAGGTGGGGGAATTTGCTTGCATCCTTTTAGATTCCAAGATATCCAAAGCTCTACTGATGTCTGATATACCAAAAAGTTATTTTGTTGCCTTTTCTTACTGTATGTAAATCCCAGTCTCACACAGGCACTACGCCCCTTTTTCTCTGAAGAACCACTGATTTAACTGTACATTTTAGAAAAATAAGATTTAAATAAAAATAAGATTTAAATAAGTTCACAGCACTGTGAACATTCACATATCCAGACGTTCACAGTTTTGAATCCAGTGTTCACAGTGCTGGTATTTCACAACAATGATTCCACAGATTTCTCAAGTTTTCTCTTTCTTGAGGATCTTTACAACTGTAAAGAAAAGAAAATGGCAACACACTCCTTCTCCTCGTTTCAAGTGTAGCAGAAATGTTGTGATAGGAAGCCTGAGAAGCTGAATTGACTAAGAGGGATTTCCTTCACAGAGTGCTTTCTTTTGTCAGGAAAAGACCATTGAGCGTTTAAAGGAGCAGCGTGACAGAGATGAACGAGAAAAACAGGAAGAGATCGACAACTACAAGAAAGACATTAAGGACCTGAAAGAGAGAGTCAGCATTTTACAAGGAGATCTCACAGAGAAAGAGGTTGATCAGCAACACGAATCTATTGTGATGGAATTATTTGTTGTTTCTGTTTGTGTTACATTTGAGTCGAAGGAAACTGTTCCTTTATAGTAATTGTCTTTCAACAAAGCTGATCTGGTAGATTACATCACTGGAGAATTTGCAAAGCATCAGTGTTTCAGAACCACCTTTTCAGGGATAGCAGCCATCCCCTTGTTTGCAGCAGTTAATCTTGTTAGTAGTGGCTGACTGCTGGTCAGTGTGGCATTGACTGAGCTGTGCTGATAGACAGGGCAGGCTGGGAACAAGCTTGTCCCTGTCTCAGTGTAGGGAGGAAGGAGCAGAGGCTGATCAAAGCTGTGGGTGCCAAAAGCATGAGGATAATGTTTTGTTCCTTTATGCAAACAACAGGCAGTTCTTTAGACTCTCGAGTATTTTTTTGATTAATTAGGTTGATTGTTGGTAATGAGCCAGTTGGCTAGACAAATTACCTTAATTATATTGGAGAAACATAAATGTTCTCTGTTCCTCTCTTGTGTATTTGCAATCTTTTTTACAAAACTCAGTCAAAGGAAAACAACAGCAAAATATGTACCCAGAAAGTACTATGATTTTGTCTACATGGAAATCAGCATTTGACAGGGGGGAAAAGAAGCAAACACAAAAATAATATAGAAAGAAAGAAGTTGAGATGTTTTTTGTAGTAAGGTGGCATGAATCAGTTTTACCCCATGGAAGCTGTATACAGAAATGCCTTCAACTCTCTCAGTGACTAAATCTTCTAACCACAAGTGATTTTAAATACAATTTTATTGAAAACCAGTTTTTCTTAAACATTACTGTCACTGGACTACAAGTTCCAGTTTACAGAATTGTCCATCTTTAAAAACTATTTTGAAAGTAATTTAGGCAAGGTTTTATTTTGATCCTGAAAGCCTGAATTAATTCAAGCTGTCTTAAGTCAGTGACACAAACAACCTGAAAAAGATGTTTTAAATTAGATCCTGGACATAGTGTGAAGGGATAGGAGGAAGATAAAGACAGAAAAGAAACTTGATTGCACTTACTTGATAATTATTTCACATCTTTTAATTTAGACATCATTACTGGATCTTAAGGAGCATGCTTCATCATTAGCTTCATCAGGACTGAAGAAAGATTCAAGACTCAAGACACTGGAGATTGCATTAGAACAGAAAAAGGAAGAATGTTTGAAGATGGAAACACAATTGAAGAAGGTAATCTTAGTGCATGTTTATTTATGTGTTGTAAGCATACAGTTCTAAACACATTGCCCATGTCTACAGAGAAAACTTGGGGTCTTTAGAGCAAATTCTTTGAATTTCTTTTCAGCAAGATCAGTGAAGGTGTGTCTATGCAAAACATATTACAAGCTAAACCCATCAAGCTTTGCTTGATTACAAGCTAAGCCTAGCCTAAGTAACTTTCAGACATTTGTGCTAAATTTTGATTTCACTTACATTCAGTAACAGTGCTGTCAGCTTTTTTGGTTTTTGAGGCTTAGTCTGCTTCAGTACAGCTTGTAGCAGCAGTTGTGCCATTAAATTGATGTAACAGCTGAAAAAATAACAGCTAAACATTTCACATACCAATTATCACTGCTTATAGGAGTTAATGTGATAAATTCAGGTGCAGGGTTGGCCCTGCCTGGAGGAAAGCAAAAAAATGAATGAAAAGAAGATGCTACCTGTGAAGTGTGTGATTTTGAGTCATCAGTTCAGACCTGTTTAGGATTCCTGTTGTGTTGGTGTTACTGCACCTGAGAACAGTGTAAATGGAACTCTGTGCATGCGTATCTAGACCCATGTTTGTCCTGTTTCATTCTGTCACCCAAAACCTACTGTTCTCAGCATCAGCAGAGCTCAGTAGCAAGAAAAGGCAGCTATCACGTGTAATTGGTCTCCCAGGCTGTTTTCAGTGGCTCTTTCTGAAGGACCTTTTGTTGAATTCTCTGCCATGAATTTCAGGTTCACCCTGTGTTGCTGGTAATGAGTTGATAAATCTGTTGTAGCTAAGATTTGCCAGAAGTTGTTAGAGCATCTCACCCAAAGAATCTACCTAAGTCATGGTCAGGATGGTTTCAGTTCTGCAACCAAAAAAATAATTGGTAGCCTACCATTATCTGTGTGGAATAACTTCCAGTTACTAGAGAAAATATAGTTAACATTCACTTGAATAAGTTTTATACCTATAGTAAGTTAACATATTTCTTTAATAACCTTCTTTCCCAACTGTTTTTAATTCTTTAGTGGGTTTTATTGTAGCTTGCACAGAAGCAAAAAAGTTATTTTTAAAGGCTTTCAGTTTTTAAATGTTTTGCAGGTATTTATTCAGGCAGTTTGACATTTTCAAGATGAAATAAGAAATAATTATGACAGATAATCCAGCTCCATTTTAAAGCTTCTAAAAACTCGTTTTTACACCTCTGTATTGTTAACAATTGTAAATAATTGTCATAATTAACCTTAAAACTAATTGCTACATAAGAGCATTCAGTATAAAACTGAATTAGAGGTTCATTCTCTTGAGGTTTATTACATTATCTTAGTGCAGATTTTCATGAGACACATGCAGGAAGGAAGCTCTCATGTACCTCCTTAGGAGTAAATGGCTAAAAGCTTTTTTTTGGGTTCTTCCCTCACAGTTTGAATGGAGATGTGTCTAACATCAGTCTTGCTTCCCTTGCTTCCTATTCCCAGTGAACAGTTTGAGTACTTCCAGTCAAATCTATTATCCCTAGAAGTTAAGCTGGCAGGAGAGGCTGAGCTGGACTACTGTTAAGCCATTACATAAAAAAGACTTGGGAAGTCCTTGCAAAAGGCTCTTGCTAACCTGCAAGCAGTGAACCTCAGAGAAATCATGAACCATGCAAGCTTCCCTTTCTTCTGTAAAAGGGAATTAACTTTACACTAAACAAAAACATTAACCAAGTGGAGTGCAAGGGTGCTGAAAAGTTGCTGATATTGATTTTAGTTCTATGTTAGTCTCCAGTGTCTCCTTTGATGTATCCACTTCTTGTTGCTATTCCTCTTTTCACTAATAAGTGTTTTATATTGATCTTTAGTTTAGCAATTGGAACTGCAGTGTTTTTCATATTGGGCTCGTTTTTTTCAAATAATAATACCATGGTTATGCAAATCTGTGTGCCTAATGTTCCAATTATTCTATATTCACTGCCTCTGTGCTCAGTTGTCATCCTGCTGCCAGCAGGAGATGCAGTGGGAGATTCTGAAGGCTGAAAGCAGCTCATAAATCCCTGTTGAGTTTACATGGTGTCCTGTCTTCATTTTGGCTCCGATGGAATCATTAGAGGCAAATAACACACAGGAGGTTCTCTCCCTTTTTTTCTGTGAAGTGCTATTATGCTCTGTGGTGGTTTTTCTTCAGGGAAATCTTTGTCCAAACTACTATTTTAATGTATTATTTTTATAGTGAAAAAGTTTTCCTTTAGTTGTTCTTCAGGATGCTCTTTTCCCAGCATTTTCTGTCTTGTCTTTCCCAGCCAGTATACTTTGTTTCATTTTGTTTTTCTGATCTGGAAGAGACCAACTACTATTACAAATTTTTCCAGGAAAGATGAGTGGATATTTGTCCATCTTCATTTCCAGTGCATAGTTTTTCTCCCTATAGATATACTCCTTATTTTTAGGGAGGAAAAAGAGTCAAAACCATATGTTAATAAACTTCCCCTTGCTGCAGTCTAGGAACTTTTCACCAGAAAAAGTTAGCAGTGATTCCCTGCCAGGAAAATACCTCTACCTTCAACAAGCATACTCAGAGGTTGTTTTTGGGGTTTTTTTTTCTGCTGTGGTGTTCTTTCCTCAAATTCAGGAGGATAGTATCTTTCAAAAAACAGGAAAACAAAAAAGACTTAATGAAGTGTTGATCCAAATTCTGTCTTTCCCAAGAATTAGCCTGGCTAATCTAATACAGACTCTGCTGCTTTTTATTTTGTGAACATGGATTTTCTCCCACAGCTGAAAATATTACTGATAATATGGGTAGATGAGGCTGGTTTTTGTTCTCAGCTGATAATTATTTTTTTTCAAAGGGACAATAAATGATATATACAACATAGAAGGAAAAAGGCTGCCAGGGAAATCAGGATTTCTTGTTATAATAAAAGCAAAAAGGAAAACTATGTTCAGCATTCAGATAGTGTCAGTTACTGAATTAGTTTTCTAGACCATTCAGCTGTCTTGAAATTGATACAAAGGAAGCACTAGGAATTAAAGTCCTTCTCAATCTGTGAAGCTCATCTGTAAACCCAAACAAAGAGCTGCATTAAATATGTGGGGGCTGGACAAATCTGTTAAATTGAAAAATTCAAGGTAAAATTTGGCACTTGCATGAGAATAACTCTCCATGTTTCTCATGTTCCAGAAGCTGGTTAGTAATGCATGCTAAAACCACTAATTAAGATTCTGTTGTCTTAGTAAATTAATGTTGCAGTTATTATTTTAAATTCTTTGCTTGTTACATCTTTTCTTTTTCTCTCTCACACTGTTCCTATCCCAAATTTTCTCCATCTTTTCCTATCTTCTTTCTCCCTTTAGCACCCTGAGGTTTTATTGAGTCATCCATCCAAGCTAGTAAGTTCCCTGGCAATCTGAGAGGCTGTTGCCAGCACATTTAATTTTTTGTGTTGCATGTGTATTCACCTGTGCTTTTATAGTTGGGCCAACACAGAGTGTATTGGTGAATTCCTTTGGTATAGTGGGTATGGACAGCATGGATACAAACAAAAAGCAGTGGGATGTCAGACCAGTCATGTCCCAAAAAGCTTTCTGAGATGTTTTCACTGTTTGACTGCCTTGGCCTAACTGCATTTTTGTTTGGACAGCTTAATATCGTGTCTTGTGTTTTGTTTCCCCTTGCTGCTGGTGCTTGAAATGTCCTGTAGCTTTTCTGTCATCTCCATTGTCTGTGCATTTTCAGAGCAAGAAGGTGGAATTTCCATGCAAATCAAGCTTCTTGTGTGAAAGCGTTCTGTAACACTGGGCACAGCAGCACATTAGAAATAACAACCGAGTTGCAGCAACTGAAAGATTGCTTAGAATCTTGTGTAATCATTCAGCTCACTGGTACTGTGTCAGTTTAATTTTGGATCCTGTTTCCAGCCTCCTGTTTGATGTCAAAGAGCACTCCTGTCAAGGAGTGTTTGTGTAATAATATCTTGACACTGTAAATTACGTAATCCAAGGTGGTTTTCATCAGAGATTTCTTCTGTGGCTCTGTGCATAAAAAATGGTGTTACAGAACTTTTTTGATACCTGTGTTACTCTTGGCAGTGTTCAGGGTAAATGGAGTTGTCTATCCTGACAATCATTGTCTGAGGGTCAGAAAATTTCTGGGGCTTGCGATTGTTCCATTTTTGTGGCATTCCATATGAGAAATTCTTTAAACCTGGCTAAATAGTGTCAATAAGGAGTTGAGAAAATGAGATATAATATGGAAAGATTGTACTTGGTACAGTGCAAATAGGCAGAAGAATTTGTGTCAGGAGAGCATATTCTCTACAAAATCTTTAATAGCATGCAGACTTTTTGAGGCTCATTATTCTGAAATCAGAACACAGAAGATATTGGAGCAAACTGTGTGTTTTATTCTCCAGTATGATATAGCAAGCACACAGGATGAGGTACAAGAGGCTTTGTGCAGGCCAGGTTGGATGGGGTTTTGAGCAGCCTGGTCTAGTGGAAGGTGTCCCTGCCCACAGTAGGGGAGGTTGGAATGAGATGATTTTTAAGGACCCTTCCAACCCAAGCCATTCTATGATTCTGTGGTGGCTTTTAATGTTCTAGTCTGATGATCTCAACATCATCTCATGTAGTGGAAAGTTGGAGAAGTTTTCTCCTTGATATTCTTATAGCTAAAAAAAAAAAAAATTACCTTACCTGCTCTACCCCTCCCAGAAAAACTTGTGAAGATAACACTCATTTTGAAAAACTAAATACTCAAAATTCAGGAAATGGCCAGTGTCACACTGTGTGGTCTTTCTCATTTTTCCTTGTGAGGTAATTTGTATAGCATTTCATAACTAAATTATTGTCTGCTAGAGTCTTGCTGTTTTCAATATTGCATGACAAATGCTGCTAGAGTGAGCCAGATATACATGAGAGATGATAATCATCCAGAGAAATAAGATGGTAAAATGCTTTTTCAATAGCAGGAAAGCATTGAGTGAATAAGGCAGGATATATTTCCATTTTGCTTT